ACCAAATGTCACCTACTGGAAAATATCTGTACACACAATAAGCATAAGTGATGGTGATAAAAATGACAGCACTAAATACTTAAAATTGTGGTCAGTTTTAATTACTGGTTGGATGTGCTTTTAAAAAACAAACATCTTACACTAATTCATCCAATCACAGCTGTCACATGTCTCTGTCTCTCTTCACTTGTTTACATACAGCTCTGGCGCAGGGAGCATGTGATACTGATTTAGTGTAGTGGAACCTATAGGAAAATTTAGAAACATTTACCCTAGGCAAATCTGTGATTTATGTACTGTATATATACATGTAACTTCTAAGCTTCAATACTTTTTCCTGTCCAACATATCTATATGGCACAAGAATATAGTGATTTGCTGTACTGACAGAGCTGTAAGAGTTATAGCATGTCTATTTCACCAAAGCTATACAAAATGCACTTCTGCATTAATAGAGAAAGTTTTCAAATCATACATATACCATGGGAGTTTACTCTTATTTCACAAAAGAAGGGGGGGCATGGGTTAATTCCATGCATGACTGGGACTGCCTTGATCATATCAATCCAAAATATATTTTGAACGACAAAAATCATGGAATTCAGGCCAGAAATTGGACAGGTTTAACATTAAGCAGCTTTAACATCCTGACATATGTAAGGCTGGATGATGAACTTTGCCAGAATGTAATAAGTGAGGGGTTGGATTATGCCTAGCAGTCTGAAACACTGACCACAGTACCCTGCCGCCTGTTAGTCGATCAAGGCAAATGACCCCTTCAACAGATGAAATCACAGTACCCTGCCGCCTGTTAGTCGATCAAGGCAAATGACCCCTTCAACAGATGAAATCACAGTACCCTGCCGCCTGTTAGTCGATCAAGGCAAATGACCCCTTCAACAGATGAAATCACAGTACCCTGCCGCCTGTTAGTCGACCTCGATCAAGGCAAATGACCCCTTCAACAGATGAAATCACTTTTAGACTACAGCATGATAAGAACTTACACTTGAATCTATTGATGGTTGGATGTGCTTTTAAAAAACAAACATCTTACACTATTTCATCCAATCACAGCTGTCACATGTCTCTGTCTCTCTTCACTTGTTTACATACAGCTCTCGCGCAGGGAGCATGTGATACTGATTTAGTGTAGTGGAACCTACACAACATGTTAACAGTGCCATACAGATGTAGTACTACACAACATGTTAACAGTGTCGTACAGATGTAGTTCTACACAACATGTTAACAGTGTCATACAGATGTAGTTCTACACAACATGTTAACTGTGTCATACAGATGTAGTTCTACAGAGCGTGTCAACAGTGCCATACTAATGTAGTTTTATAGAGGTACACAGTGCCATACTAATGTAGTTTTATAGAGGTACACAGTGCCTATACAGTTGTAGCTTTATAGAGGTACACAGTGCCATACTAATGTAGTTTTATAGAGGTACACAGTGCCTATACAGTTGTAGCTTTATGGAGATACACACTGCCTATACAGTTGTAGCTTTATAGAGGTACACAGTGCCTATACAGTTGTAGCTTTAAAGAGGTACACAGTGCCTATACAGTTGTAGCTTTATAGAGGTACACAATGCCTATATACAGAGGTACACAGTGCCTACAGTTGTAGCTTTATAGAGGTACACAGTGCCTTACAGTTGTAGCTTTTAAGAGGTACACATGCCTATTGTAGCATCAATATTGCAGCCATATCAGTGACCTATACAGTTGTAGCTTTATAGACATTGCCTATACACAGTGCCTATACAGTTGTAGCTTTATAGAGGTACACAGTGCCTATACAGTTGTAGCTTTATAGAGGTACACAGTGCCTATACAGTTGTAGCTTTATAGAGGTACACAATGCCTATACAGTTGTAGCTTTATAGAGGTACATAGAGTGCCCATACAGTTGTAGCTTTATAGAGGTACACAGTGCCTATACAGTTGTAGCTTTATAGAGGTACACAATGCCTACAGTTGACTGACTGAGTGAGTTTAGTTTTATATGAGGTACACTTTAGCAATATTTTCCAGCAACAATCAACATCACGTCGGGGACACCATAAATGGGCTTGACACATTGTGCCCATGTGGGGCTTTGAACCCCGGTTTTCGGGTTGTAACTTCTATAGAGGCACAGCTTTTGTACCATTAAGCCTACCCCAGCTTTATAGAAGAACACAGTGCCTATACAGTTGTAGCTTTATAGAGGTACACAGTGCCTATACAGTTGTAGCTTTATAGAGGTACACAGTGTCTATACAGTTGTAGCTTTAAAGAGGTACACAGTGCCTATAGTTTAGCTTTAAAGAGGTACACAGTGCCTATACAGTTGTAGCTTTATAGAGGTACACAGTGCCTATACAGTTGTAGCTTGTAGCAGTTTATTTAGAGGGTACACAGTGCCTATACAGTTGTAGCTTTAAAGAGGTACAGTGCCTATACAGTTGTGGCTTTATAGAAGTACACAGTGCCTATACAGTTGTAGCTTTATAGAGGTACACAGTGCCTATACAGTTGTAGCTTTAAAGAGGTACACAGTGCCTATTACAGTTGTAGCTTTATAGAGGCAGTGCCATACAGTGTAGCTTTATACAGTTGTAGCTTTATAGAGGTACACAGTGCCTATACAGTTGTAGCTTTATAGAGGTACACAATGCCTATACAGTTGTAGCTTTATAGAGGTACACAATGCCTATACAGTTGTAGCTTTATAGAGGTACACAGTGCCTATACAGTTGTAGCTTTATAGAGGTACACAGTGCCTATACAGTTGTAGCTTTATAGAGGTACACAATGCCTATACAGTTGTAGCTTTATAGAGGTACACAATGCCTATACAGTTGTAGCTTTATAGAGGTACACAATGCCTATACAGTTGTAGCTTTATAGAGGTACACAGTGCCTATACAGTTGTAGCTTTATAGAGGTACACAGTGCCTATACAGTTGTAGCTTTATAGCTATTATAGCTTTATAGAGGTACACAGTGCCTATACAGTTGTAGCTTTATAGAGGTACACAGTGCCTATACAGTTGTAGCTTTATAGAGGTACACAGTGCCTATACAGTTGTAGCTTTATAGAGGTACACAGTGCCTATACAGTTGTAGCTTTATAGAGGTACACAGTGCCTATAGAGTTGTAGCTTTATAGAGGTACACAGTGCCTATACAGTTGTAGCTTTATAGAGGTACACAGTGCCTATAGAGTTGTAGCTTTATAGAGGTACACAGTGCCTATACAGTTGTAGCTTTATAGAGGTACACAGTGCCTATACAGTTGTAGCTTTATAGAGGTACACAGTGCCTATACAGTTGTAGCTTTATAGAGGTACACAGTGCCTATACAGTTGTAGCTTTATAGAGGTACACAGTGCCTATACAGTTGTAGCTTTATAGAGGTACACAGTGCCTATACAGTTGTAGCTTTAAAGAGGGACACAGTGCCTATAGAGTTGTAGCTTTATAGAGGTACACAGTGCCTATACAGTTGTAGCTTTATAGAGGTACACAGTGCCTATACAGTTGTAGCTTTATAGAGGTACACAGTGCCTATACAGTTGTAGCTTTATAGAGGTACACAGTGCCTATAGAGTTGTAGCTTTAAAGAGGGGTACACAGTGCCTATACAGTTGTAGCTTTATAGAGGTACACAGTGCCTATACAGCTGTAACTTTATAGAGGTACACAGTGCCTATACAGTTGTAGCTTTATAGAGGTACACAGTGCCTATACAGTTGTAGCTTTATAGAGGTACACAGTGCCTATACAGTTGTAGCTTTATAGAGGTACACAGTGCCTATACAGTTGTAGCTTTATAGAGGTACACAGTGCCTATACAGTTGTAGCTTTATAGAGGTACACAGTGCCTAAACAGTTGTAGCTTTATAGAGGTACACAGTGCCTATACAGTTGTAGCTTTATAGAGGTACACAGTGCCTATAGAGTTGTAGCTTTATAGAGGTACACAGTGCCTATACAGTTGTAGGTTTATGGAACATGTCAACTGTGTCATACTGTATAGAGAATGTGATCAGAGAGAAAGAGAGAGAGAGATCACGTTGTGTTAAATGATGCATACTAGTATTAAATATGTCAGTGAATGAAGAACAATGACAGTGAATGTCAGTGAATGTATTACAGTTAGTGCTTAATATAAAGACATTTCAAATATCAGCAATTCTGACCAGTTTGCGGTGATTCATATAGTTGGCACACCTTTTCCTGTTTCAACACAAGGTCAGTCTCAAAGTTTCACGAATCAGGTACTGCAAGCGCAATTCCAAATTAAGCAAGGTTTACCAGCGCAATTCCAAATTAAGCAAGGTTTACCAGCAACTTAAGTGTTTAATTCGTTGCATTGATTACCGTTGTATCGCGTCTTTTGCAATGCAAAACTCCAGAGATAGTCCAAACTTGTATTTTCATCCCCAGAGTAACCTCATTACCTTATTTCCTCCACGGGAATGGGTCTGACGTAGGAGGTAGAATAGGTTGTCCAGTCCCACGACAGATCGATATTCCAGGTGCATTAGCTAATTGGTATGCTCAGTCGGGTATATAATACCCCTTAATCAATTATTATTTAGCTTTCATATCTGAGTGGATATTTGTAAAGCTGTGTTGTGTCGTATTTATGATGTGTTCACCCCTCCCATGAAATGAACTGAGCTTTCCTCCGATGAACAAAGTACATTGTCAGTACATTCACGGAAATAAAGAGTACGGTGTTAAAGTAAAGCTGTCCTTCACTCGGTTTTCAAACAATCACTTTTGAGATTTTCTTCTTTTACGAGAAAAGGAGTTCAATGATAAGAGCTATTTTTTCACTGAAAATATTCTCCCTATTAATAAAGGTCATAAAACGACATTTTCCACGATAATCAGCACGCGTCATCGCCCAGACGAATGACGTCAACGCAAAAATATGGACCAATCAAAAGCTCCCAAACGTCACTCTCGCGTAGGAATACCTAAAATTGCTCAAGTGCTGAGGCTTGTTGTTGAAGCTTGTGACGCTGATCGTGTATTTTGACGTGGCCACTACGTATCCTGCAAATTTATCCACTCCGATTGCGGCAAAGTTGGTGACGAAAAGTACGTAACCGGTAAGTACTCACAACAATCAAACGTGTTGTCGTGCGGGAATCACGAAAATTTGGCACAGTTTGCTTCGACCGTGACACAGAGAACAACATTCCAGAGGTTGTCAGCCACATTTTGTAGATCTGTTGAAGCCATGTCTGCATTTTAGTCAGCGACTCAAGACTTTTTCCGGGGTTTTCCCTTGTGTTGTCCCGTTTCTCTCCTTTGATGACGAAGTCACCACGGGGTTACCCCTTTGATCAGATGTTACCTTTAGTCTTCCCAAGTTTATTCCGCCAGCCATGAGGAACTCCTTAAACACTAACCCGTTGGTAAATTGAAACATTTTCTCTCGGTAGCCATGCTGACAGACTTGAAATGAAAATCGAGGTCAGTCGTGGGTGATTGGATGTTGATTTGTTGTTGACCCCAGCAGCTTGTACACTTGTTGTTCTGTGTTAATTGCTTGATTTGTCATCACTTGTGTTTAATTATGCCGAAGAATCAGGACTAGCTATGAAAATTATTTTTTTCTGTTGTGATCTTCCGCGTATTAACACTCTTGGCCACTGAACATTATATGATGAAAGGCAGCCACATTAAAAAAATGTGCTGTTTGCGAATTCTTTCATTTAAATGCCAAATCCTTTATATAAATTCAGTTTTGATAAACCGTAGTTGAACTTTGATTTTGTAATGAATTTGTTTCTGTGCAGGTTTAAGGAAACTGCTTCAGTGATTACTTCCTTTTCTGCATAAAGCAGTGATTCAGGTTGGTTGTCAGGAGTACTTTCGTATACAATCCACTGGTCCATTCTGACCCAAAGTATTTATGCAAGTTGATGCTGGATGGTTGACATTAATGATTAACATACAGATTTATATGCAAGGGTTCACACATCAACAACATGATCTGCTATTTGTCTGTTGTGAAACTGGATAAAGTGGAGTAATTGCTGCTAATATTGCTAGTTACAATTTGAATGAAGATTGCATAACATTCTGTTGGTCTTTAGTGCTAATGTTCAGATTAAATGTTGGTACAGGTAATGACGAGATCAATGATCATTTCAATATATGGAATCTTTAAATAAAATCCTTTAGAACTGTTGGAATTCATCACATCTTCGCATGATCACTTCACATTTCACAGAGAAAATCCATTAGGCTCAAACTTGCAATTTTCTGGTTGTTAGTCCATGTGCATATTTGTATATTTGTCACAGTATATTGTGATACTATAGGGTGTTATGACTTGTGAATAAAACTTTGTTGTGGTGAATTCCATAGTTTTATTATTTGAGGGAGAGAATTATCAGAATATCTCATATAATCACTGTAACTTGTCATAAATGTTAATTGGAAGACTTTGAGCATGAGTTGTGACAAAACATCATTGTGATCATTATTTTATTAACAAACTATCTATGAGGATTTAAGGAAATGACTACAACCTATGCTTGTTGTGAGATGTGTCTACATGGATTGGATGGTCAGTGATTTGATGGATTGCATGTCACTTGATAATGTTGTGTTGATTGATGCATGTGATGTCACTAGATAGGATGATCCAAGTTTGATTACTTACAGACTGCCTTCATATAGCTGGAATATTAATTGTTGTTGTGTTAAACACCAAAGAAACACTTATTGTGCCAACTTACTAATATGTAACCCATTGGGAACTGTCAGTTTTAAAGTTGTGAAAGACTTTGAAGTACAGGTGTTAGCATTTTCGAAAATGTTAAAATGACTGACAAACAGCCGTCTTTCTTACACTTTGAATGTCTTGAATATTTTATGGAATTTGAAGGCTGAGCATGGCAAGGAAGATCTGACTGTACAAACACAGTCTTCTCCCTCACCCAACAGTTACAATTAATTCAGTAGTCAGCTTATATGAGTCCATCATATTAAACTAAACTTGAAAATACAAGTATATGCCAGTCGACTAAAAAAAATTTTTCTTTATACTGTTTTTCTCTACATCAAATAATATCATCTAAAGTCTATAGAGTTGATCATGTTTAAACTCCAGAAACATGCTTTTTGAAACTGTTGACACAGCTTCACATTTCCTGCTGTGTCATTCTTAATCTCAAACATGGGAATTTTCAAACAAATGTCCCAAAGGACCCTTGTAATATCTTGTCTTTGGAAAGGTTTTTTGTTACTGCTTCCACTCAAGGGAAAACATTTGCAATTTCAATCTTGATTATAACAATCATCAAGGTCCTGTTTCATGAAGTTATGTTAGTACAAGACTTTCCATGCTCTCAAGGCTGCATTTGAACTAAATACCTAACTAGACAGCATATTTCTACGCACATCAAGATGGAAAGAGGGAGCCTCGAAAATGATCCAGGATTGGGACAGCCTTCAACTGCTGCAACAAAAATGTTGCCATGCCATTATGTCACATACATGATGATTCATCAAATGTCAGGTCACAGCTTAAATGCATCTCATGTTCAGATTATTCTTAGGAATGAATGGGCTGTGGGGGTAGCCTAGTTGTTAAAGCGTCCGCTTGTGACGTCGAAGACCCGGGTTCGAATCCCTACATGGGTACAATGTGTGGAGCCAATTTCTTGTGTCCCCTGTCATGATGTTGCTGGAATATTGCTAAAAGTGGCGTAAAACCATACTCACTTACTCTTAGGAATCACTTGGGTACAACAATGGTTTCAGCAAGCACAACACCATGACTTCTGACTCCTGATTGACAACATTCCAGATTCATCATATGCCATGGTGCACCTATGTCACTTGTAGTGCTATGGTTGCTTTGTACAACAGCACCCAAACCATTAATTGCCATTAGTATGTTGATTGGTTTGGGCAACTGCATGAGAATATCAGGGCTAAACATGGTGGGTCACTAATTAAAGGTGTGTTGTTCTCTCACAACAATGTGTCTGTTCACATGTCTATAGTCACCAGTGGTGCAATTACTGTGACTATGAACACATTAAATGTCTTCCATATTTACCAGATTTGGCACTATCAGATTTAGACATCTGACAGTCTTAAAGAAAGAACTGCAGATATTTCTACATGGAAGTTACTGTAATGCTTGTTAAAGTAGTAGTTCTTTGTAGGACATTGGTTTCAGCACATGGAGCTATACAACCAGTGTAAACAAAGGATAACGATGGAAAAAGTGTTTCACTTATTAAGATATTTTCTCGGTGAAGGTTAACCATTCACATCTATTTATCTGGATGGGTACACTAATTAAACACATACAGCATCTTGATTTGGCTGTGTAAGATGTCATGAATCAAGGCATGGTAATTCATATCATGTGGCAGAGGTAATTTGTTAGTCGTTTTGAACTATTCATAGGAAAGCAGGGCTCCAGATAAGGGCTGTATCGGCGTATGTACGGATAAAAAATATGCACGATATGGTAGGAAATAATTTAGAAAGCGTAGCAGATACGCACCACAGCAATGGTGTACGGTCTTAGAATCATTTACAGACATATTTATATGAAAAAGTATTGTTTTATTGTTTATTGACCTGTTTACACAAGAGCAGCAATGTTGTGGTGCATATATGAAACGAAACACAAGATTACTGATACTCCATTAAATTCCATTCAGCACTCTAAATGTAGATGTTTTCCAGTACTCCTATATTGTGAAAATGAAGAGTACATACTCCTGATGTTTAAAAATTATCTGGAGCCCTGGGAGAGTGCTTTGACATCATTGTGATCCTGGTATAACAGCATGATTTGCAGAAGTGTGTGGACCTCAAAATGGGTTTCGTAAAAACATAATTTGCGCTGAACTCCATGAATGTAGTCTGGTCGTGCTTCAAGTCAGAACATTTCAGGTCAGCCCTCACATATGGTTCCTTTTCAAGACATGCAAGATGTGTTCTGGAGTGACATCCCAACTTATGGGTACAATGAAACACTACCACCAAGCACCAGTAACTTTTTCCTTCTTAGCCTCAAGCGTTTAACCCTGTGCCAACATGGGTTGTAATATGCCCCCGTCACCTTTGTTTGTAGTAATATTTTTTAATTATGTTCTGCAGTAATTCCACTTTTGATAAGAGAAATAACATTAAATGTAAGCATCCAAATGTCATAAAAAATTGCTTGCACTAAGTCAATCTTAGTTTACCTGATATTCAACTTGCATGTTTAGAAAGTGATTCATACTGCACAATCTCCTGAAAGAAGATCTACAATAGTATAATATTTTCTGGTATAAGTTAACACAACTGGAACTGTTGCAAGAGTTGTTGTGATATGAAGTAATGATTAAATTACAAGTTTAGCTAGAAACTGTTTAGGATTCATTTTACCATGGTTACATGACATTTTTATGTTGTGCAAGAATTTTGATGTACACATTCTGAATCAACCCACCATCTTTTTTGACAGGGCTATTTTCTTGGTATCTGTTTCAGATATGTCTGAAGGCAATGCTCAAGGAGATCTAGAAAATGGTTCACAAGGTATATCAGTAGTTCATGTGACTATTCCCAACCAGCCTGTCCAAGTCCAGTCTGTGATACAGTCAAACCAACACTCCGTCATTCAGTCTGCTGGCAGTACTGGCAATGTCCAGACTATTCAAGTTGTCAGAGTAAGTGCACTCTTCTTCTTTATAATTTCCATTAAAGATATGATCCAATAATTTTATTAATCATACATTTCTTTTGAATTTTCACCTTTTAAATTTTTTCTCCAGAAATGCAGACCCCAGAATTTAATTTTGGACCGATTTGCTGTATGCCAACATATATTCTTTTCCAGGTAGCCAATGATAAGGAGTGCGTACAGTTTCTCCACGTCTACATTTAGAAGATAAAGCTACTCTGTTTTCTATTTTGCGGTCCTTTATCGTTGATTTAAGACCGCTAAATGTAATTTAAAAACCAAACGAGTTAGCGTGGGATTAGGGTCAAGAAATCCTTCTTCAAACCATTCGCTTTTTACTTAAAAAAACACCCAAAGATGCTGCCGAGATAGAAATTGCCGATGTCCGACATGTTTGTTTACAAACAATAGGGTCAATGAGTTCGTTGTATTCGTAATGCGCAGTGAGTCGGTCACTTTAATTAGCTGTCTTAAACTGCCATTTAAGTACGGTTTTGATGAGCTCTCAGCCAATCAGAATCAAGTATCACACAATGTCGTGCTAGAATTGTGCTTATTCGCATCTACGATGACTATTATTAGTCCCAGCATTAATGTCAGCATTCCCTCACAACATCTGTGCAAAGATATAAACATATTTGTTATCCCCTGCTGCACGTTAAGCGCGCAGCGGGGGATATAGTATTAGGCTCTGTCCGTACATACGAATTGGAATATCTTAAGAACTGTTGACTAGATTCTTTTCCTATTTGGTACCTAGGTTCATCACAGTATAAGAAAGGTCCAAGTCAGCTTTGGTGACCTTGACCTTAATTTCAAGGTCACAAGGGGACTTTAACGTTTTACTCTTGTCAGCAAAATATCTCAAAACCGTTCTCAAGATTTTCTTCATATTCAACGCCAAGCTTTATCTAGGGAAGGCGCATGTCACAGTCGATTTTGGTGACCTTCACATAATTTTCAAGGTCATGGCGACACTTTGAAGATTTCAGCATATTAACTTGCATGTTATGCTTGTCAGTGAGATACCTCAAGAACCATTCACTGGATTTTCTTCATATTTGATGCCAAGCTTCATCCAGGGAAGGCGCAGGGCCCAGTCAATTTTGGTGACCTTCACATAATTTTCAAGATCACAGCCACACTTTGTAGATTTCAGCAAGTTAACCTGAATTCTCTGGATTTTCTTCATAGACTTTCAAGACTTCCCTTGAATGTTTTTCAATAAGCAATTTCTTTAGTACCATTTTTGCATATTTCATGCACTATGACATTCATGTCAAGGTCAAAGTCAGTCTTGAAAATATTTGTGTGTTTGAACAACTAAAGAGCAAGATACATGTAAGATCCTCTGTCTGACATATACGTTCCTCCATGGTTTGGCTCCCTGCTACTTGTCTGAACTCCTATATCCGTATGTCCCCGCACGCAACTTGCACTCAAACACACATAATCGACTGGTCATTCCGACCTACAAAGTGAAATCCTTTGGACACCAATCATTTTCTTACTCTGCACCTGTACTTTGGAACTCTCTCCCATGTGCCTTAAAAAGCTCTGACACAATTGACATTGTCATAAGTCCAGACTTAAACCCACCTTTTCTCAGTATATTATATATAACTTCATCTGTAAATACTCCAGTGTAAATATTCTGTAGCGCTTTGAGCATGCCTTATGGTGTGGAAGGGGCGCATTATAAATATGCATTTATTATTATGTATCAAGAGAGGTTGACTGGTCATGTTTTTGTTGACATTTAACTTCATCTTAAACTTTCATTACTTTTTAAGTTTGATTTGATAAGGGGATTATGTCACCTTATTGACAATGCTTGTTTATGATGTCAAGTAAAGAGGAACCATTTGTGTCTGTCTGAATTTTGTCAACTTGATTCACTGCACACTGAAATATAATTTCCCCAAACCATATCCTCACACACAGAACTATTACAATTCCTCTTTGACTTACAATGAAGTTTAACTATACAATTTTCATAAAAACTCTGTGAGATTAGTGATCGAGAAACATTGGAGCAAATGTCAGTTGAATTCATTAATAGTAAAAATATTATTGTGTAAGCATTTATTATTGGTCAGGTAATCGGAAGCAAAAAGTTATTTCATGGTGATCCTTAGGCAATAGCGACCTTCAAAATCCAGACATTGTGTTGCAGTGTACCTTCATACTTCATATTGGTAGGGTTTTACACAGGCTTTGAAAAATGGGAGTCATGGTGACTCACAGTATTTATTTTGGGGAGTTATTTTCATGATTTGGGAGTCATGAAAATGTTAATGTAATAGTTGTTTGTGTGAAGGAAACAGCAAGATTTTTGCAAAGATTTTGTTGTTTAGTGTTGTATTGCCATTTATACGATTAGCTGATAAATAGTATATTTTTCACTGTTCAATTCAGTCATAACAAAGTCCAGCATACTGTATACAAGCAGGTTCAACCAGAGAGTTCACCATCAATATTCCTGAAATAACCTGCAAGCTTGTTTTGTATGGTAATGTCACAAGTCTCATCCAACATAAGGCCAATGTATGGACTTTTCTTTATGGCTTCAATTTGCTGTTCTTCCATAACATGGAAGATTTGCTTATCAAATCGATTTTATTGAACTGAATTCTGAGGGTCAGTCATTAAACTTGCATCAAGCTTGACTTGTATGAGAGTCTATTAGAAATATTTTGCGTCATATACACAGGAATCGCGTGTCATGTAAAACCCTGTATTGGTAATAATGTTAAGATATGGCTGAAATATTGCCGATGTTATGATAACTTTTAACTCGGTCACTGTTTATTATCTATACCTGCAGGTCGCTGCTGTTGATGATGAACTATCTTCAGATGACTCAGATGCCAAAAAGAGGAGAGAGATCCTAGCAAGAAGGCCATCATATAGGTATCAGACTGTTTAAAATTTGTTAGTTTGTTAGCATCCATTCATCCATGTTTGTTATCCCCATCAACGCGTTTTGCGGGGGGTATTAAAATGGACTCCGTCCGTCTGCGTGCACATTTGTCTTTTCCAGAGCAGAACTCTAAAACTGTTCAATATTTCTTCACCCAACTTTGCACATACATGGATCTGGTGGTGTACTGGTGCCTTTTGGTAGTTTTGGAATTCTGAATTAAATATTTTTGGCGTTTCCATGGCAACAAGTTCGACTTTGACTGAAATTAGTGGTAGTGCTCTTTTCTGGAGCAGAACTCTAAAACCGTTCAATATTTCTTCACCAAACTTGGCACATAGATAGATCTGGTGGTGTACTGGTGCCTTTTGGTAGTTTTGGAATTCTGAATAAGATATTTTTGACGTTTCCATGGCAACAAGTTTGACTTAGCCTGAAATTGTAGTAGTGCTCTTTTCCGGAGCAGAACTCTAAAACCGTTCAATGTTTCTTCACCAAACTTGGCACATAGATTGGTCTGGTGGTGTACTGGTGCCTTTTGCTAGTTTGGGAATGCTGAATAAAATATTTTTGGCATTTCCATGGCAACAAGTTTGACTGAAATTGGTGATAGTGCTGCTGATAAAGCAGAACTTTAAAAACCTTTCAATACTCTCCTTCCACTTTTCTATATACACACCTAAATATTTGACATAATCATAACTCGTAGACATAATCATGAAGAGTATTTTGCCATTGCGGGGGATATTGATGACTTTGAAGATGTCAGGTTGTCTTTCCTCATTGATCACTTTGACACAATGCGGTTTCTAGGTGGTACGAAACACATCTCATGTACTCATGACGATAGCCTAATTGTAACAAGATTAGTAACCACCAAATAGCAATGTTCACACAGAAATAGAGATATCTCGTGTACATGTATTTACACAATCCGTATTGGTTAGTAAAGTGATTCCAGGTTCATCTTGGAATTAGCAAGATCTTACAAATGGAAACATTGATATATGATGACTTTATACAATGGGATTAATTTTTGTTGGTACAATTAATAATGATCGTGTTTAATTTTTTGATATGGTAACCAGGTATGAATCTCTTTGTTACAAACCCAGGCTTCCGAGGCCCCTGTGATTTCTTTGGGTCTGGTAAAGTTAGCTTGTATTAGTCCATATAGTACAAAGACAAGTATTTGCTGAAAATAACCCCAAAACATAAGTTTTGAAAAAAATATAAAAAAGTCAAAAGTATACTGCTTTTCAATATTGATACATATTGTAGTATTCTTTCTAAAAACCAGTATATTTGATAAACAAGTATTTTTTAAACTTATCGTATCTCACATATTCTGCTGTCTCTCTTATGTCAACCATGAAGTGGATACGCGCTGTGAAACGAAGATGAACAAAGTTTCTGGCCTCCGTGAGTCCCTCGCCTGAAGCACTCCCCACCGCTCCTGTTCTCGGACAGTTTAGTAGCTTGCTACAAGTATGCATCACGACTTCCGGTTGACCATGTGACTTCCCTGTCTTGTCATTTCTCTTTCTTGTCTCATTGGAGTGTAGATGTGTTGTTTTTGCTGTCCCTCTTGACTGTGGTTAACTTTAGATACCATGGGCAAGGACAAAGCTTCCAGAAAACATCTAGGTTTGTGTGCCTGGACTAAGATTTGTCAGTTTTGTTCCCACCTTAGTGACTATGACTTTGCAGCCTATCGTAGGGTTGGTTCATGGATAGAACATTGTCCATCCGCCCCCAAGAAATCCCTGCACAATAGGCCATTTAAGAAGGCGCATAGACCGTCACAGTCGTCTGATCAAGATGATTTTCTGGACACTCGGCCGGATTCTTATTTGTCAGAGAATTTATGGCACGTTTTTCATCCTTCAGACAGTGTTCATGAATATCATCTGACTCTCACATCCGGTGGATTATACAACCCGCCGGCCCCAGTGTCTGACTGTATATTTCACAATGACTTTGACTGAAGTTGTTATGTGACATGTGACACTTGTTTGCTGTTTACAAATCTTATGTTTGTTAAGAATTTCAATGCCAATTATAAGAAATGTTAATCTGAAATGTGTGTTTAATTTTATTCTGTGGGTCCTGTGAATTTTCAGTGGGTCAGACAGACATCTGAACCTTACAGGACCCAATGTCCTGTTACTTTGAAACACCATTCGTGAACACTGTTCAGACCCTACCTTAAGTCCCCCTGAGACCAGATCACCTCTACTACACAGATAGCAGCCGTTCGTAGTTCTGCAGATCGAACAGTATCACCATTTCTCTTCTTCACCTCCTACTGACATCACGAGTGGATCACCAATTACACCTTTTATCATCGTTGGGCGTTTCTCAAGTGGCGATCCTACCGGAATTGGGGATCCCACCTTCCACGACTTTTCCAGGATTGAGGCGATCACCCAGCTCACCCTTCAAGATTGACTTGTTTCAGCTCCTTCACGTCTGAAGTTGGTAAAGAAACCCAGTTTCAGGTTTCCATTAAGCTTGGCAAGCTACAGAAATTGGGGACTCCTTATGGCAGAGAAGAGCGGCTCACTACACACCTGTGAACCCCGATCTGCGCGAGCCTTTTCGGGCAGGTCATTTCAGCAGTGACCCAGGAGAGCTTCCCGCCCTTCTCAGGGCAGCCGAGGTGGACACAAGCCAGACATAGCTCGCAGAGCTGAGCCTAGCAAGCAGTGACTTTCTGACACCTTCCGTCCCCAGCTGTCCTGATAGTTGACTCACCAGTAGGCGGAAGACTGGGCACCTATGCAAGGAACTGGATCATCATGTTGACAACACTCAGCACGGGTTACAAGCTCTCAGTCATCGGTACACAACCACTGATATCTGATCCAGTACACCGCACCTACCTGTCAACAAAGATAGAAGTTTGTGCAAAATAAATCAAGAAGTTGTCATCCATAAGATTTGTCTTGTATAAAGATAGAAGTTCTTCACTCCACCACAGGTACATTACTTCAGAAGTCAGCAATAGTCTCTCGGCCCCTCACCAGACACTCCCGGCTTCTGCTCCCCGATCTTCTTTCTCCCCAAGAAAGATTATAACAAACTCCGGTTGATCTTCAACATGAAATGGTTCAACGCCACTTATCTTCAATCACCCCCTCACTTCAGAATGATATTGTGGTTGTTCTCCGGTCGATCATCAGACCAAGGGATTTAGCTTAGACCTCCAGGATACATGTCTACACATTCTGATATACCCTGATCATCACAAGTATCTTCGATTTTTGTTCCAAGGCATCCATTGCCAATAGAAAGTGCTCCTCTTTTGGCATTTCCGCAGCCCCGTGGCTGTTAACTCGTATTACGAAGCCTTACATTGACGACTGCAAACAACTACAAGCCCAGAGCAAGCAGGCTCTCCTTCAGCCCCAGCAGTTCACTGAATAGGTTGGATCGTCAATCTAAAGAAGTCCAAACTGATCCCAACTCAGCGTACACAGTTTATTCACCGCTACTGGCATCAAGATCTCCACAGCGGTCCTACAAGTTGGCCAATCAGACCAAGAAATACCGGCCTCCAGCTTGGGCTTTATCGGTCATGCTTCGAAATGTCATCTCAGATGAATTTGAACCATTAGGTGAGAAAAGTTTTGAGCGCATCACCTTTAAAACCTTCTTCCTCATAGCCAAGCTATGGCAGCACACATCTGAGAGCTCCATGCGTTGGGACATCCACCGAGTGAGCTTTGAGAAGAAGAAACATGGCAGAGTGTTTTGTAGGACTTGGATTGGATTTCGTAGCTAAGAACCAACTGCCAGGACAACCAGACAGGCTATTCTCCTTACCCCCATTGTACACTATCCTCGGGCGTGACGACATTGAAGACCTCACAATCTGCCCTGTCATGGCATTGAGACGCTACAGTGCGGCTTCACACAACATCGTCGACTGTGAAAGCACCTCTTCATCCTGCTGTCACCATCCTCATCAGCAGAAGTATCACGGACTACTTTGGCTTTTGGATGAGATCACCATCCTACAGGCCTACATGTTTGTCAATCTCCCTTCTTCGGTAGCATCGAATCAACATGAGACAAGAGCCACCTGTTCTTCACAGCAGCTGCTCCCCACCATCTATAATGGAGGGCTGCTCTTGGAGGTCAGAGACAGTGTTTGCATCCTACTACCTACGTCAGTAACGTGGAGGGACTTCACCAGTTTTGTCCTCTAGTGCTGACTTATCAATGGCCCATCAACGCAGGGTCGCTGCCCAGAGTGTTTCGAGTACAGTCATTCCCTTGACTTCGTCATAGACTGCAAGTCAGTCTTGTACACAACACAGAGGTTCTCGACACTCATGCTTACTGACCTCAGGGAACGTCAGTGACGTGTGTATACCAAATTCCTATGGGTTTTCGAAGTGTTCCGCTATGAAGTTCATGGAGACATTTAAAATTATGCCCACACAGAGGAGCGAGGGCTACTCAATGTTACCCAGAACTGAAGTTTAGCTCATCGAGCATTTTCCGAATTTGGAGACTGCAGGGAACGATTTCGAAGCAGAGACTGGCTGGGTCAGAGTTCCATGAACTTTCACCAATCAGGGCTTTCCGATAATTCGTCGTTTTCTAATAAATTGGGGTGAGGTGAGGTTTACATGCTGATCTCTGTCCCTTTGTCTTGAGCAAAGGTTACGGCTGAAAACCACATTAACTCGGGAATGCCCACTCCCTGGGAGTTTTTGTGTCGTGTATGCCAAGGGGTTTGGAGGAAGCAACCCAGCACAAGTATATGTGTTCAGCGACCTATCAGGAGGTAGCACTCGTACAGGCCTCCTTGTGTGTCATCACATCTCCATGGTTGTCAACTACTAGACTCAGGGTAATGTGCAATCCACCATCAAACTGTGGGATAAGTACAATACGTGAGATAGGATAAGTTTTTAAAATTTGTATATTTCTAATACTAATCCTATCTCACACAATCGACGCCCATCAACCATCCCCACTTTGCAGATATATACTATTACGTTGCAACAAGATGAAAATGTCAAGACCGGGAAGTCACATGGTCCAGCAAAGGTTGTGCTACATGCTTTTAGCAAGCCTCTAATTCGTCCGAGAATTGGAGTGGGAGTGTTCGGGCTCGGGCCAGAAACTTTGGGAGGCCAGAAACTTTGTGCAACTTTGCTTAACAGCATGTTTCCACTTCATGTTCGACATAAAAGAGAAAGAATACAATATGTGAGATATGATAAGTATTATAAATATACAATTTATAGTTAAAATATTCAATATGAAGTTTTGTGGTCCATGGTTAACATCTACAGAGGCTTTAAATCTCTGAAGTATCCTGAAGTTATTACTTGACAAAACTTTGCATACTCTAAATTCTGTAAAAAAATGATAATGGAAATCCCAAGCTGTCAAAGTTATTTTGAGATAGCTATAAAACCGAGCAGTGATATGTGGTTTTTAGGCCTCCGTATGTAGAAAACAGGATCTGCATTTACAATCAGTGTTACTCACTGTCAAACACTTTAGCCCCCAATGTATTACAATAGGTATAGCAATACAGGTACCTGAATCTTAATGTAATCTTAATGAGGACGCTTGCGTCCGAGTGCTTTAACGTTATAATAGTTCAGGGCGAAAGTGTGCTTTATTACACTATACATGGTGGTAGAGCGAACTGTATTCTTCTAAGATGCCAAATTTAATACTTTCTAAGGATAATTACAATTTAATTTAAGGCAGAAAACAAACGACGGTGTCGGTGACCTAAATTAATAACAGGGCTAACTGGCTCGCTTTTCTATTGATGTGTCTGCCCCCCCTACATTAAGACGAACGTTATCAAAAAAACCCAAATGATAACAGTTTGATGACGGTTTACGTTCGGATTAAATATCTTTTCTGAATTATTTTAATTACATCTGTCATTAACGTAAACCATATGGGGCAATATGAACGTCGCATTTCTACTACCAACGTAAGTTTAGATCAGTACATCCAGATGAAGCTGAGTCGTCAAGCGACATTCCACGATTGCATTGTGGGAATGTAAACATTGCGATTGTTACCGTGTCGCTGAAAACCTGTGAGTCGAATTGACACATTTTAACCATCGTAAAACATAAACGTAATGTTTCCACCAGTGATGTTAGCTGCAAGAAGCAACTGCAAACCAAGAAATGGGATGCAACAGAGTATTTTACTGTAGGAGGCCGCACGAGGCGATGACAACTGACATCAGGGCTCCAGATAACTTTTGGGGGTGCGAGTGTGCTTACAGTTACACATCATATTGCAAGTGGAGGTGTACTGATAAAATAATGAAGGAGTACTGACATGTTTTTGTGTGAGCGAGTTGGTGATGTGGTTTGTCTGGACGATTCATCGATCACTATTTCCAACCATGTATTTGTATTTGAAGACGCGTGAGAAATAACTGAGCGACCGTGTGATGCGCGAAATGTCAGGTCCGACTGGATATAAATAGGAACAGTGTAGTTTTTAGCCAATCGAAAAATAGTGACGCATATCGTTGCATGGCAACGCAAGGAATTCCTACTGTCGGGGTTTCCTCATGTGTCAAATCGTGTTTCGCAAAAGTAACTTGACAAGTATTTATCCGAAATAGATTTCCATTTGTACGATACACACGGAAATTACATGTTAGACGTACAAAGGTATTTATGTGCATACACTATACGCTTGAAATCTTATATTATGTCGTACTTAATTGATTTTGAGGTGTACATTACGCCTGTGCGCCCCATATCTGTAGCCCTGTGACATCGCTTACATTGTGACGTAATGTAAAATGGTTCGATTACGAGGGGGCACACTAGAATGGCGCAGTGACGGGATAACGTCATTCAATTGTTACGTCATTCAAAAACTATACCTTTATTGTCTGATAATGTAATTTTTTTTGATTGTTCTAACCGCTAGGCATCTTAGAATTGCCAGTACACAGGCCCACTGAGTTAGTGAGTGAGTTTAGTTTTACGCTGCACTCAACAATATTCCAGCTATATGGCGGCGGTCTATATATAATTGAGTCTGGACCAGAAATTCCAGTGATCAACACACAGGCCCACTGAAAAGATTTTGACATTGACTGCAGACTACATGGTCCAGAGTATTTTAGGTTTATGATCTATTGGATCCTAATGATAATCTGTCACATATTTCATCTTTGTGTACGCCAGAGATGAAGTACAGGATTTGGTGGCCCATTAATTCAAATACTCAAAGACGGTACTAGTTTTAATAATTATTAATTTATAGTATTATGGTGCGGTGGGGTAGCCTAGTGGTTAAAGTGTTCGCTCGTCACGCTAAAGACCCAAGTTCGATTTCCCACATGAGTACAGTGTGTGAAGCCCATTTCTGGTGTCCCCTGTCGTGATATTGCAGGAATATTGCTAAAAGCGGCATAAACCTAAACTCACTCACTCACTCTTTCTGTAACTTTGAATAGCTATTAAATAATTGTATGACAGATTCTTCAATTTTGGAACAAGTATAAAGCATCACTTTGTACCAAGGAACTGGAAGCTCACATTGTGTTTTTTTACGTTCACGTTTTGTATGTCCCTAGGTTAGCAGCAGTATTTTGATGCATTTTATCTTTTCAAACAGTGTTTTATTTAAATGAGCTTTCATCTGTAAAGTAGTCACTATAGAAGTTAATATTCAGGTACATTTTAAAAATAAAGGTTGGCTTTCTTGCAGAAAGATCTTGAATGACTTATCATCACCTGTGTCTAAGATGGATGATGAATCTAATGACAGTCAAAGCCAGGATGGTCAGGAAAGTAATGAGGCAGCCCAGAATCTCACCAGTTCAGCCAATGCTGTCCAGTACCAGCAAGCAACAGGTATAGCATGCATCAGTGTCAAGAAGTACTGAAAAGTCATTGATAAATTGCCAGTTTAAACAAGATGTACACCTCACCTACAAAAATTGTTAACATAATTCATGTTAATTTATAGTGGGTGACCATGTCATTTATTTTACTGCGGGTAATTGGCCAAGGTTTGAAAACGATTCAGAAACAGCTCATGGTCAACAGAGATCACACCAGCCATAATTTCGGGGCAGTTGTGCCTGAGTATTTCTGACCACAAGGAATACCATTCAGTTTTATTAAGGCTATGTGCTCTGTGCATATCTCAACCACTGAACCTCAGAAACCACTAGATAGTAAGACCTTGGCAGTATTGATGAAAATTCAATTGCCGACTTTTACAAGGCTATCATTTTTTTAAATTCAATAAAATTTAGTCATGTGTAGGTAACGCTGGGGGCTAACATATGAATATTTTCTCTTCTTCTTTTTTTGCCATATTATGCGATATATTATTTTAACCTGATTGAACAGAAATTTTCTGATTTTCTTCTTTGAAATTGCAGAACAGATATCTGAAACTGTAGTTCGTAATGCAAGTTCCTGTTAATGATGACATTCTGTTGAATTAGTGATTTTGGTGTTGGTTTCTTTCTTTGGTAACTTTAATTTTGTAATATTTTAAACAAAGCCGCAACACAGATCTGAAATGTTATTTGAAGTAAACACTTTACATATATAAAAAAGTTTTGTAACGGCATTGGTATTGTCTGTGAGCTTTTGTGAGCAGTTAAGAGTATACTAAAACGTCATCTCCGTCATATTATAAAAGTGGACATCCGTAGATTTTCACCCTTTATGTAAATAAATCCTCTATAATTGTCAATATTGTTCTGAAAGCTTTTTCTTATGTATAGGTTTAATAAGTCCAGCTGACCATTCCTCAGCTGAAGATTTGATTAAAGACTATGCAGACATATATCTTAGTAAAACAGTATCACAACACTGTAACATTTGTGGTAAAATTCCATCAGGTCCAGTCAGTATTCTGTTTTTTAAACTAGAGATAACATTGCAGATTTCATCGTCACTTATATCATGGTTAAGAGTATTATTTATATCATTGTCTTAATAGGCAGGTCAGGCTAATTTTGTACATGCATTTTATTACTCAGAAGTGTACACACACTTTTAGTTCATGCATAAGTGAGTAAAAAGCACTTTTCCTTTTTAATTTATGTCAAAAACGTTTTGAGATATGAATGTTTTATTAGTGTATATAGCCGCCATTTTGTTTTCCAAGATGACCGCCATTCAGTTTGGCCACAATGAAGGGATTAAAAAGGGCCAGGGAAAAAAATTGAATAGGTGTTTTTCTATTTAATATGTATTATTCATCTGAAAAAAATGTGTTCAAACAAACCATTCATAATCAATTCCTTGTTTGTATTAAAACTCTTAACTTTATACTGTCAAAACATGGAAAAACAGGAATTTGTACGGCCAAGAATAGACAAAATTGACCCAACTTTGAATGGTCTTATACGTGTGCAAATAACTGACAGTCAGTTCAAGATTGCTAATGTGATTAAAAACAACTATTTTATCCCAATAAATGAAGTTAAAAACAATTAATCCTTCATTATCTATTTAAAATGATCATCCAAATTTTGCTATTTTGTCATGTTTCATCTCATAATAGATGTGGCACCATGTAATGGTCCAATGACACCCACAAAAATTAACATATCCTGATGAAATTTGGAAGGCAGGTAGATCTTTCCATTTGCTACATTTGTAGCTACTGCAACACAATATTTACTGCAAGTAATAAGGCTTTATCTCTCATAATAAGAAACAACAAACCAGAAATGTGGTTTTGATATATATTATTCAGTTTCATCGGCACACATCACCATCTGAAGACTAGTGTTCATTAATGATTCACTGAAGATGACAATGTTCATTGTTAATGCTCTAAACAAAGTACAATGACCATACAGTCATCACCAACACCTAGTTTTTATTCACTATTTGAATCCAAATATTCATGTGTAAAATAGTGTGAAAATAGTGAATAATTACCTTAGTAAACAATCTAAAGTCAATCCATGCTCATATTTCATTCATGATACAAGTCTAGATCATAACACAAGTGCATTTATCATGCTTATGTTTTAAAATAAAAAGAAATGATATGTATCATTATATGATAAATAATTAATGTTGCCAAACAGAGATAAACTCTCATCCATAAATAGGATGCGAGAAATTTAAATTTGACAGTAAGAACCAGTTATTTGATGTAAGAGAAGAGCATACCATGTTTCCAGTTCAGATAATAAGATCAGGTTATATCAAAACTGAAAACACAGTAGACTCATCCCTTGTTACCGGTATGAAAGCGGGGAGGGCTCCAACAAAAGACAATGGTTCAGGATAAGGTCAGGATTGGGATACTGAAAGAAGAAATACATCATTTGAAAAATTAATTACTATAGTCTTCATACAATGAATCTAGTTTTTGGTGGTTATTTTCCCCCTCTCATGAAGTATAATTTTCCATTTAGTGAAATGACATCAAGTCCAGAACAAAATACATATTTGTTTTCAACAATGTTCATAATCTACAGATATATGTGATGATAACTTGATAGTAAAAGACATGGGTAAAAGTTCCCCTAAAATCTGAAAATTATTTGGTAAATATTGTTGTTTTGTAATGGTATATCTCACATATTTTTAGGGTTTAGTGGTTAAAGCCAGTGGGATAGTTCTAAGAACTGCTCAAGGTTTGGTTGCCAAAAAACACCAATCCATGTAAAAAAATTCAAATAAATAAATACATACACCAACCCTCATTTTTTCATTGGTGTAAAAATACAAAGTAGGAAAGTTCAATCTGTTATTTATGATATTTCGTTACAATTACGTAATTTCTACTGTGAAATTTAATACCATGTTACCATGCTCATGTCAAGTCAGAGCAAAGACATTTCACCAATAATTATTTCATTGTGATAATGGTACGAGGGTTAACGAAGCAAACCAGAAGTGAAATTGAGAAATAGTTTTCGGTAGTTTCCATGTGTGTATGATAGAAATTTGGTCGGCAGTTTATTGGAAGTTAGCTGTATCTTGTTGACATAATCTCATTTCAAGGTGGGTGTGTCTAATGGGAGCAGACAATGAAAGCACACAAAAATGTCGTCCTCAATTAAGTTGTGACGAGGTGTAGCAAAAAACAACATGGATTAGTCCATAATGATACAAGGACCTTCGTTGTCATGAAAACATCAGTGTACATAAAAAAATAGTTTTAAATGGTGTTTTGGCACAGATAAAATGCTTGTTCCATGTATATTTGTCTAGAAGAGGCACAGCCCTTACCTGTCAGGTCAGGGCGTGTCAGCAAGTGCTCCACTTTCTCCCTCGTCACCCCCACTTCTGACCAAGACCATTCGATCAGCGACTGTCATGACAGCACTGCTGTGATGGAAATTGGGGTTAATTACGACCCAGTGTAAACAGAGAGACAACATGTCAGTGTTAATAGTGTTTGGAAGGAATTATCAGGATTGAGATTGAACATACGATGTCTTGAATGTTTTGGTTGTTGATACATTCACTGTTAGTGACAGCGGTAAAAATTGGAAGAGTACACTTTTATACATGGGGAGAGGTAATTATAAAATCAGTATTTTCTTCAATGGTTTACCTTTTTTCTAAAAAAACCTTTAATTCACATCAAAGAAATAACGTACATTATACCTTATGTAAGTCTTGTGTAGTTATGTAGGGGTTAACCTGTCACATTGTCCTTGGGGACACTTTCATTTTTGGCGCTGTTTGCGAGTCAGCTCTCATGTCTGCTGTGAGAGAGGGGAAACGATGGCACTTCGTTTGCAAAATAGTATGTGTGCCTTTCGGTGGCGGTGGCGATTCGTTTTCCCGCCATTTTAATTTTTTATCAGAACATTTTGGTAAACTTACCTTTGAATGATTTTGTTGTTCAAATTTCCCACCTCTAACTTTAGAACGAAGTCAAAATCATGAAATAGACTCTTCCATCTGTCATGTGATGTAAATATCGTAGTCATGTGAATACAGGCACACCTCCTATTTTTACCGTGAACACTGAGGGTACGAATATTAGATGGTGCCATTTTGGCAAATGGGAGCATGCCCTTGTTAACCTAATAAGTTGCATATCTGAAGAAACATTCAATTCATTATGAAATAAGAAGGAAAACAAAACAACAATAGACATAATGTTTTATTAAGACATTCTTCACAAGCATATATGTTATTTTTATTTCTGTTTATGAAACTGAAATGTGATGAATTTTGATTAGTTTCACTTTCAAAACAAGATGGCCACCGTGCCTGACCTCCCTAGTCTTAATAACTATTGTACAGACCTAGAAAACCAGATCCCTGAACAATTCATTTCATGGGAGAGGAGGCAAGATAAGGCATGGCTTCAAGGGAGAGTGTAAGCCGTCAGTGACAGTCACTTGACAGTCACCTTAATTATCAACCAGAGGCCAGTAGTGGTGGTCCAATTAATTGAAATAATCGAAGATTGGTCGCAATGACTAAACGACCAAGCAATCGATCACGTTTGGTCATAATCGAACACAAATAATTTTGGAACACTTGTTTGCATTAACAATATTTATCACAAGGTTGGTTTTGAATGTTACGTTTCATAAGCACTACAAGCTCGTTCCAAGTCGTGATTAAATTTATCTTGAAGACTCCAGGAAATTTATGTTCCTAACATACTAGTCTTCCTTTAAAGACGTTAAATTTGCAAACAAAAAAAACGCGAAAGAAATGCATGTTTTTTTCATTATTTTTTGTGCATTAACAAACATAACCAGGACAATTTGATAAATGGCGATAACCATTTATTTTCGATGATTGATCGGTTGTAATGAACCAATCATCAATTATGAGATTTTAACCAATTCCCAACACTAGAGGCCAGTGTTTGAGAAGAGAAATCCCTTAAAAGTAGACCCAGCCAAATTGGATCAATGCAGCTGGGAACTTCCAACAACATTCATCCTTATCCTAAATTTCACAATAAGCGGAAAGAGAAAAAGTGGATGCTGTCTGACTGCATGTTTATGTCCAACATTTTCAGAGAGTGATACTGTCTACCACTCATCTCCACATTTCCGCTTACTAGGATGTTTATTCGGTGGGAGTATCACCAGCACAGTTGACAGCTCACCAAAGTGAGTGTTTGAATTGTTAGGCCCTAAACCATCAATACCAGGCTCCAACTCAAAGTCTTCCTTTGTACCCAAGTTGGATTCAGAGAGACAGTGCATCATCTTCAGCATGTATGCCTTCAATTCACAGTGTTGGGAGTCGCCTCAATTCAGGATTGTCTCCATCGCCTTTCAATGAATGTCTCAAACTGTCACTATTTGGAGGACAGTTACTATCTCTGCTATATTTTTCAAAGTCTACACTACTGGTGGATGGTTCTGCTATGTGGCTTTTCCATGTCCCCATAGCTATTTACACAAAGCTGTCACAAAGAGAGGTTGTCTTTGAAGCTTAATTAATTAATTTTTCAAAAACCCACATTCCTAACATAACTATCCATCTAGCTGGCCTTGACCAAGTTCATTACTTAATCAGTTGGGATGGCTGATGAATATTGGGGATGAAGACCTCCCCAGGTCTTCACTTCACTGCACTATTATACAGCACAAACCAAGGCTGTTTGTCCCTGGACAAGATTCAGGTTCTTGGTAGGTGATCTTGGCCTTCTCACATCAGCTCAGACTCTCACTCAGCAGTATACAGGAGCATCAGTCTACGCAATTGGGATAGGAAATTCAACCAGGAGACAGGTGAGACCCGTGAAGATCCTGGTTAGAATTGATCTTAAGTAACCCATGCTTGTCGTCAGGCTCACTGACTTGGTTAACCCATGCTCGTGCTTTATCACTGGATTGTCTGGTCTAGACCTGATTATTTACAGACCACTGCCATATAGCTGGAATATTGCTGATTCTGGCATAGAACTAAACTCACTCACTAACTTTAACAGGTGAAATTTCGGTTTCTTTTACAACATGATGGAATTCAACAAGAATGCTCAACAACATCTACTCATCCTCTGTCATCAAGCATCCAGGAAGTACTTTCGTTTCCATGTATCAAGACCAGCGTTACCAATGGAAGGCACTCCCATTTGGAATATATATAGCCACGTGGTTGTTTACATTGGTTCTCATGTCGGCACAAGCACTTACGGAGAGAGATCCTATTCAGAGATTCATGAGAACATTTCTAGATCTTCAGGATCTGAAGATTTTTCTTCCATCATGTCTGAAAACGTACATCCTTTGACTGTTAAGTCAAGCCTGTGGATTAGCTTTTTCAAAAGAGCCTTCATCCATACATAGACACTTCACTTCAAGCTTGGGATCCCACTTCAGCTTGGGAGAAGTGTCTTGTCCACACAAAGTCTAACTTTAGCATTTTGCTATAGTTATGTGGTAACTGTTCTATCACATCCTTACTTTGTACATACATTTTGGGGGGGTCACTCACATTGTACATGCTTCTCCATAAAAATCACCATCATCACACTATTGGATAAAAGTTTGTTTCTAATGACGCTTTGTTTTTGCCACTGTCTGCTATAAGGATCGCGAATGGTCAAAATCATACAAGTGACCTAAGACAGTCGATCATATTACAGCAATGGATACTGCCCTCCTGAACAAAAACTTTTAGATTTAGGCGCGTAAGTTTGGGATGAAATCGTGGTCTTCTGAATGTCCTAAGCAAGAAATCACTTCCTATACATAAAATATGGACCATTGTGGGCGTATTGTGCTTGATTGTATCCTAAGACAAATTTCCCATACATAAATTGTCACACTACAAATCGTGTCCAAGTGTGAAGATTGAGGCGACGAAAACCATGACGTCACTTCAGACACTTGACTAGTATTACATGATGGCACGAACAGATGGAAACTTTGTACATCAAATGTTTGTTTAACAACAATTATGGGTACTTTTGTTGATTTTATTCATTAGTTTATTCAATTAAACTAATGATTTCCCTTGAAATATTGTTATTTTGCTCTTTCCAATTTACATGTTTTTCAATAACATTGCGAGAAATGGTTTCTAATTTTAATTCTGTTGATAGTATGTCATCAATTCGAAATGTAATAAGTGTTTTCAGACATTGTGAAAATGACAGATTTAATAAATAAATCATATGTCAGGTAGGTTCCTAAAATTATACATTATTTTGACGCGACTATTTGTGGTGTTGAATGTGTTAATTTTCAAAAGAAATTGTTTTCACGATTACGGCACATCAGTGGGAAGAAAAATGAGCCCAGAATTTTTAAAAGGCGCATGATTTTCCCAATCGCTGTTAACTATACGTCATCAACATGTATACACAAACATTAGAATTCAACACACGACGTCACCAATTTACAAGCACAGATGTTTACACTTTAATCGGGAGGAAACAAGTTCACACACTGTTGCTATGATGATTTACTATGTTTTGAAGCTATCAAGTTACTTGCACTGGGTGCAACCTGCTGGTAAATGTTACTTACACCAGCGAAAAATATTAACTTACAAAGGTGGAACCTGTTAATGGCTTAATTGCACCCCGCAGTCAGTCATGGGAGGCTGTTTATTTAAGTCTGATACAGTCTTTGCCAACCAATATCTCAGACATACCACTACAGAAGATATTGCTGGGATCCACCAGTTTGGCTCTTTGGTTGCAGCACGGAAATGGACAGTTCCTTCATTCTATAATTTCTCACTCAGAATCACATCTTGTAGAAGTCAGCTTCCTGACCAATGACCAACACCTGAGTGTCCATGCCCGTTTTGCTTCATAATGAGTGTGTGATCCAGTTCAGTTCAGTTTACGACTTATGCTTAGCATATGTATCATCCATAAAAATGTTCTCTGCAGACCTTATAAATCCATGAAATCGCATTTCCGATAAAGAAATTGGTACCCAAGATCTAAGAACAATAGAAGTCTCATGGGTGGTTATATAACTGTTCATGAATTCCAAATGAGGTAGCTTCCCACCACCTGCTGACATTTTCAAGCAATTTGTATATGATGGGTCAGGATATGAGTCAGGATAAGGAATAATAGTATGTGTATTAATTTTCATTCTTTTATCATTAATTTTTTAATGTATATATCTGTTCATTGTCAACTTCAGGAGGAATTACTTGCGAGTACGATTATAGATTTTGGACATGTCTACCTCAAAAAGCTGTTCATTTTGTTGGTATGCAGTGGACGACTATCTGTTGTTGTTTTCAGATTAAGGTTTCAGTGTTCATGAATAGCATCAGACTCTCGGACAATTCCGGCAGATTTGCCGGCGGTCCGATGGAAGTCTACAACCAGTCTACAGCCCCAGTGTCTGACTGTATATTTCACAATGACTTTGACTGAAGTTGTTATATGTGACATGTGACACTCGTTTGCTGTTTATAAATTTTACGCTTGTTAAGAATTTCATCGCCACTTTATGAGACATGTTAAATATGAAATGTGTTTGATTTTTGTTCTATGGGTCCTGTGAATTTTCAGTGTGTCAGACAGACCCAATGTCCTGTTACTTTGAAACACCATTTGTGATCACTGAGATTTTGATGTGTTTAGATAGTAATTTAATATATTTTACTTCACAAGGCAAGAAATAGACTGGCTGGAAAAATAACTATTACTTTCATGCAGGAGAATACATTTGTAAAACTTAGTGTATGCTGTACACTTGTGGAAAGGTCCATTTACAACAGGATACTGGTTCTAAATTTCATTTCCCCTCAATGTTGAGAGTAGTTAGCATGAATGGCATAGAATAAGTCTTAAACATATCAAATTCTCCGACTTGTTAAGTTCTAATACAAATAAAATTCAGTAATTATAAAAAGGTATTAAAAGAGATATTTCCTGTAGAAAAAATTATTTCAAAGAGAAACAATGAAATCGAGAAATTCAGTCTTAAATAGAATTCGCTCATCCCAATATTCAGCAACTAATTATTATTATATCTCTACAGCAATGTATCTTCACCTTTTCTGTGCTTGTTGCTACCATATACCCTTGTTATTGACCTTTTAACCATGGGAACAAATAAAAAATAAGAAGAATAAAGTTCTAATACACTTTTAAATCATGCACAATTATGTCCTGATAAGAATGTTCATCATATTATTAGGATAATGATGAAACCTGTGTCATGCTGACAATATCATATTCTCATCTGTAATCTTTTGCTTAGATTCTACATTCAAATTTCGGGCTAGTGAATTATTTTGTGGGCTACTAACTTTCAGGCATAGCTAGCCCGACTGTCTAGCAAAATGTGGAAACAAGTTTGCACACTGTTAGAGCCATGGATTTTCCTGACATTATTGCATTCTTGTTCAGTTTTTGTCATTAACTTTCAGCCATGATACAGTATTGATACAAAAGGATTGTTGCTAACTCTTCATGGGTTATTTTTTTTGTTTTAGTTGTTCCTGCAGGGGCCATCCAGATCACGACTCATCCTGATGGTACACCTGTGTCACAAGGACTCCAGACATTGACAATGTCAAATGCCAGTCCCTCAACAGGGGCTCAGGGGGCTACTATTGTTCAGTATGCACAGGGACCTGATGGGCAGTTCTATATACCGGGTACTGGTGAGGTTTATTTGGTAGATAGCCATTTCTTTTTTAAAAAATCTGTGTATTGTTTTCGCTTTTAATCCCTGTGACCCCACCTCTGTCTGTCTGCCTGTTTGTCTGTCTGTCTGTCTGTCTGTCCACAATCATTTTGTTTACTAGAGTATAACAGTTCAATATCTTTCAACAACAATAGGTCAAACAAATCCTGAAGTGCTGCCAGCACATAAAGTCACACGCCTAACCAACTCAACCAACCCAGCTTACACAAAATGGAAGTCAGACAAATTGGCACGGCTCCCATAGCCGAAAGCTGTGCATACACAATACCATATAGAAAGTGGACAGCCACCGCTGAGTTGGTTAGACAGCTGAGTTACACTTTGCTGTAACTTAGGTGGGTGTTATTTCCAGAGCAGAACTAACATTTTTCATCCAACCATGGGACATGTATTAGTCGGGGAGCTGAAGTGTTGCCTTTTTTACACATTCAATCTTCCTGTTTCCATGGCAACAAGTTTGACTTTTTGTAGTGGTGTGGTTGTCTAGTGTCTTTTGTTATTTGGAGATGTTTATATTTTTTACGTTTCTCTGGCAACAATTTAGACTGATTATTACATGGTATTGTTTTGAATGCTCAATAACTACTCTTGCATTCAGAAAAGATTAGATAGTAATTCTCTCATCAAATTGGACGACACAGTCAAAAGATTTGTTCTTTAAAGTTTTTGCTACCGGGGGATTACTCATCTTGACTGTTGTTCTGTATGTGAAGTGAGTACCTCCATAAACCTGTTTATATGAGAAACACTGTAAATATAAAAAAGAATTCTACAGGCATCTTCCTCAGTGCAAACATATCTAACAGTTTTGAGAAAAAACTATCCTTCACAGTTCCTTATGTGAACCTCCAAAATTTCTACAAAAATCACATCCTAACTGAGTGGCAGAGTGGTAGTATATAAGAGCAAATGTTCACACGACTGATTAGTTAGAAAACACATTGTGGGACGAAGTTTTCATCCTGAACACATACTTGTGGGTATGCGGGTGCAATAAACATTGAGCAACCAGAAGTCAATATACATGATGCCAGTCATTGTAATTCCCAAGGCCACCAGTGGGTGCTACTTCCACCACTCTACAGACTGTTGGTGAATCCCAATTACAGTCAAGAAATTCCCTTCGGTACTTTAAGATTAATCCTTGCACAAATAGAATTTTCCTAGCCCACACTTGGGCACAAACTTTTCCACATCCCCACTTCTATGTAAGTATTCTTGTAGTTCACATTTTGAATGTATGTGACTTTCCTGAAAAGGCTTATGTGGTAATTCCTCTTTATGTTTCAGTGTCAGTTGGTGGAACAGGAGTCCAGGCATACCAGATTGCTACATCAGGTGCCCTTCCCCAAGGAGTGGTGATGGCTGCAGCCGGGAGTCCTATCACAAGTCCAGGAGGACATGGAGAGGAGGCATCACGCAAGAGAGAACTTAGGCTGCTTAAAAATAGGTATGTATGGCATTGTATGATTGATATAACTTTTTAGCAGAGGTGTTATTCACCAATGTTTCGTTGTGAATTTAATTCTGACCATGATATACAGAAGAGCTTCCCATTTTAATATGTGATATTTTTTATAATTTGGGGGTTGATTTTGCAAGAGTAATATTTAGTAATATAAGATGGAATGGTTGTTTTCATTCAGGGAGACATTAGCTTTTTACCTTCTTATATGAAACAAAATATTTATTACTTAATGCTATTAGATCAAACCCAAGTTAACTAGTCAGGCAACTTAGACACTATTTGTTTGATGATAACAACTTGTTTGCCACATGAAAATTTTCAGATAATTTCACACAAATCATGTTCATGTCTTATCATGTGGTTGAGTATCACAATTTGTAACCTTGTGTTAAAGTAGTAGCAGTAGTAGTAGCATTTGATTCCTTCAGCAGCAGGCAAACGTAACTGGGCAAACAAACTCCACATCGCCCACTGACAGGTGTGGTGTAAATTTAATGTAGCCAGCTTACAGTTCGTTTGGGTTGAAATGAGAATGATGAATGAATAAATAGCTCAAATCAAAATAGAGATAAGTGCACAAAACATAATAAGACACATGGTCCTGATACCTCAGTACCCAACAGAATCTGAAATCTGACGTTTTTTGATTGATCACGGAAAAGGTTGTTTAATCATGTAATGTTGTTCTATTTTCACGCTTCACACCGAGGGGTGACAAACGGCTGGTGGAACAGCGCTGTCTGTTTCCTGACTAGTAGGGGTCATCTCAATATATCACGGGTCACATTTACCCAGGTTCATGTTATCAGTCTCGTAATCAGAATCGCCTGTGATGTTACTTAGGGATTTCACAATACATAAGTTTCATGAATCAATACGTATCACGATACCCATGTCACGATTCGGTACATATCACTATACCTGTTTTTGCGGCATTATGTAAATTTAGTTACATTTTGAACATTATTATTTTTCCTTATCCTGACTCATGCTCTTTTGCTTGTCCCCTTCCTCTTGCGAACATAGTGGAACACTTGTATCTCCTTAATTGAAGCTCCCTTCAATGTAAAATCACTAATTGGTACTCACCCAAGAGTTACCTCCCCTGCCGTAAGCGCGGGAACAGGTGTCGCCACCCTCTGGCCTCATGCTTCACTCTCTCCTTCTTCGCCCAGTGAGCAGGATGTGAGAGCGCCTGTGTCTCCTTACACACTATATCCTTTGGTTTTTCTTAGTTAGTTACCTATTATAGTTTACTATAAAGGTATAGCTAGTATCCTTCAGTTATTTGCATTGATAATTAATCGTATTTCTACTGTTTATTCACGTGAGTGCGTGATTGTTCAGCTAGTTTTACGTTGATGAAAAACTGTACTATTTGTAGATTACGTTTTTTCGCTGCGGATCCGCATGTAGTATGCCCTAGTTGTACTTCGCCTTGTGCGTTTGATTCACGTTGCAGTTACTGCATTAATTTAACCAATTCTGCCTTTAATAAATACCATTTTTGCGTCTTGAGGCGTGTTGCAGATAGGTCCGCGCAAACTAGGTGTAGACATGGCCGATGCCGGATTACCCATCCAGTCAGCTGCTGTCGGCGATCCCTCCCGTCTGGTGTTCTGCTTGAGACCCCATCGGAAGAGGGGCGTGGGATGCAGTCCGTCACCTCTAAGAAGCGACCGGCCTCCCCAGACATCCCGTCATCGCCAGACAAAGTCCAAGAGGGCCTCAGCGTCTTCTCAACGCAGACTTACGTACCCCCAGGGCAGCGTCATCTTCCAAAGGGAAATCTGAAGTCATCGAGAACTTTCTCAGCTGAGATCGTTCCAGCAGCAGAATTGGGCCTCTCGATGACCAGCCTATCATCATACCCGACATACGCCACAGAAGCGACCAGTGACAGCGACAGTGACTTCAGCAGAGATCACCATGCAGCCTGATGCCTCTACACTGATGTCAGGCGAGATGGCTGAGGGCCCCACCGCTAGCACGCCAGAGGGCACCATCTACTCGTCGCAGATCATCCCAGGCGATCTTATGAAGCAGATCATGATCATGATGGAAGGCCACTACAGACTGGAGAAGCAGCCATCCCAGGGTCGAGCCTTCCAGCGAAGGCTCCAAGCGTGAACAGCACCCCAGAGGCACCCCTGTCAGCGTAGCAGCCACGGCGATGCAGCCTTCGCGAAGGAAGTCACAGACCACCTCGACGAAGGACCCAGATGTACAGCCTTGAAGCGAGCGGGGGAAGATCATCACCTTCTTCGGCATCATACTCAGATCACGGAATCTGATCATCAGACCACCGCGGAAGCCTTCGCGAAGGTCATATCACCGTTCCCCAGGACCGGACGCCAGCCGAAGCTTAGAAGGCGTTTCGCGAAGGACACCTGAACCCAGATCGTCATTATCTAAAAAGGACATCGAGGGACTACACAAAGAGCCAGCGAAGCTACCATCAGTCCCCTCATAGGTGCGCCAAGAAGATCAACCTATCGATGCAGATCACCAAGGCGATCGCCTCGCCCGATCACCACGCCCGATCTCCACGTTACATCACCACGTCGATCACCTCACAGGTCTGCACATAAGCCTACAACTAGATCTCCACAAGCGTCAAAGCGATATAGAGATAGAGCCACACAGCCCTACATCAGAAGAGCAACAACCTCTTATTTATGATGATGGAATGGAAGACGATGGAGGAATTATTTTCTCAGATGCAGAGATAAGATATTGGATGGTCAATAATCTAGATCTCTCATCACCTTCCAAGAGTGGCAATTCGAGCAGACTTATCTGATGAAAGAAGGCGATGCAGATGCTATTACACTACCCCAATCGACCCGATTAGCGGCGGTGCCACAGAACCTAGATACAGCATTTAACAAAGCCCGCGAAGGTTCAGGCGCCACATCTGCCAAATTTCCGCGCCAAGAAGTTCTCCACGCATAATATGGACCCCTTCTTCAAAGCGCCAAGACATCGATGAGAACTACAAGCTGATCTCCGATGCCAAGAACAAGTACTACAAGATTGATGATGGGAAATTGGTTCAGATAGAAACCATGGCGAAGTATGTTCTTTGGTCTAAATAGATCTAGAACAATAAATGAGACACTTATCACCAGATTTGAACCGACCTCTGAAGATGATAGAATGATTTACTCCGGCCCTACTCATGCAAAGAAGGACCAGCAGTTCTTAACAGATCATCTCACATCTGTCTCAGCAGCACTGACCTTAGCTTCGTCGTCAAGGCCTCCTCGCTTCCTGCAACTGGGGTGAGAACTTTACAGCTCCACTATATACAGCCCGTGGTCTTCCCCATCCATCTTTGACCGAGCAATAGACAGAGTCTCCAAGGAAGTCACCAAGGATTCCAGAGAAGTCCTGATGATTAAATCGATGGACACGCTAGCCAGTGTCATTCGACAGACGTCACAAAGATACTCAGGGAGATCTAAATTCATGGGCCTACAAAGAGCAAGAGACAGGAAGATTGCCAGTTCCAGGGGAAGAGATTCTTTTCGTCGCCCATATGGCAACTATAGAGGAGGGTCAGGAAGAGGCAGGACACCCAGATGTTCCCGCATCTATAAACGCTGAAAGACAGGTTCGGAACGACTGGAGTCTTCCACCCCCAAGTGGGTGGACGTCTCCAACTACACTGGGAAAACTGGGGAATTCTTCAAGACACCTATGTCTCCAACATTCTTCAACGCGGATTTCGTATCCCACTACAGGCCAAGCCTCCACTAACAGTCAACCCTCACAAGTTCGAGGTACAGGCACAGCAACTACTAAAGTTAAGAGAGGCTGTTACATTACTCCTAACCAAGCAGGCCATAGAAGTAATAGAGCAAGGAAACATCGAACCAGGTTTCTACTCCCCAGTTTTCCTAGTACCCAAGAAAAACTCCAAGGAGAAATACAGACTCATTTACAACATGAGCTTCTTCAACAAGACTTATCTAAGCAGACCACCCAGGTTCAGCATGATACATCTACACGCAATTCTGGCACATGATTAAGCCCCATGGACTACATGGGCAGTATAGATCTACAAGATGCTTATCTGCACATCCCTATACATCCCGAATCCAGGAAATACCTACGGTTTCGCTAGGCGGGTTACATTACCAGTGGAAAGTACTCCCATTGAATAGCATCAGCCCCATGGTTATTCCGAGAGGATAACGAAACCGATTGTCACATATCTACATCGTCAAAGGGCTACGCGAGTCGTTCTTCCTCGACGGCGGGATACAAGTAGATCAAGATCCACAGCATCTCAAACTACAGTTAAACTACATCATAAAGCTACTAACACAGCTGGGATGGTTAGTAAACTTACACAAGTCGGACCTAGTACCATCGCAAGATCTGCAATTCCTAGGCATTCGATTTATCACCAATCTCAACCGTATAGTCGTACCAGAAGACCGTTGGCTCAAGATCCAACAGATCATTCCACCAGCTCTACTCTCTCCGCTACCACTTCGACAATGGCAGAGCTTACTAGGTCTTCTAACATCAGCCCAAGACTTGACAGTCATAGGCAGATTACAGTTACGTCCCTTACAGGTCTTCATCAACACACATCTCGACGACCTACAACCATTCAGTCTACCGGAACATCTCAGACCTCATCTACTATGGTGGACAAAGAAATCGAATGTCTGCGAAGGGATTTGTTTAGCAGAGCAGGAATTCAAAACCCATCTATATGTAGACGCGTCGCTCCAAGGTTGGGGAGCTCATCTCACCAACCGGACGGCATCAGGGTTATGGAATCAGCTAGAAAGCAAACTCCACATAAGCGCATTAGAGATGAAAGCTGTAATCAGCGCCATAAGACATTGGAGCAACATTCTACAGAATCGCACCTGATGATACATACCGACAACTTCGACAGTGGCGTTTTATGTGAACAGGCAAGGCTCAGCGAGATCGCCCGAACCTTTTGACTTTAACCTTTC